GTTAGTGAGGGAGGACGGGTGGCAGTTGTGTTAGTAAGGCAGTACTCAGTCTACAAGATTGGATTGTATCCTGAGGCAATCTCTTGAGATATAGAAGACAGAAGTGAGCAGAGAGACAGGGGGACCTCATACCATCAAGAAAGCAGTGCCAGGAGCAGAGCGCATCCTTTGGACCTGGGGTCCCTGAGCGGAGAAACTCCTAGTCCGGGGGAACACTGAAGAGAAGAAGGCCAACAGAGAGAGCAAGGCTTCCGCTGGAGCTGACGCCCTGAATTTGGACTTTTAGCCTACTTTACTGTGAAGAAATAAATTTCTCTTTGTTAAAGCCATCCACATATGGTACTTCTGTTGTAGAAGCACTAGATGACTAAGACAGGTTATTTGTGTCCTCTCCTGTTTTTCTTTTGTCAATTTGGCCAATGGTTTGTCGATTTTGTCTATCCTTTCAAAGAACCAACTTTTGGTTGTGTTGATTCTTTCTATTGTTTTTCTATTCTCTATTTCAGTTATTTCTGCTCTGATCTTTATTATTTCCTTTCTTCTGGTGACTGTAGGCTTCTTTGCTGTTCTCTTTGTATTTGTTCAAGTTGTGTACTTAATGTTTTGATTTTGTCCCTTTCTTCTTTTTTGATGTGTGCATCTGTTGCTATAAATAGACTTCTGAGCACTGCCTTTGCTGTGTGCCAAAAGTTTTGGTATGAAGTGTTTTCATTCTCATTTGATTCTAGGAATTTTTTTATTCCATCTTTGATTTCTTCTATTACACAGTAGTTTTTAAGCAGGGTCTTATTTAATTTCCATGTACTTGATTTTTTTTCTTTGCTCTTCCTGTTGTTAATTTCTACTTTGATGGCACTGTGATCAGAGAAGATACTTTGTATTACCTCAGTGTTTTGGATTTTGTTGAGGGTGGTTCTGTGGCTAAGATGTGGTCTATTCTGGAGAATGTTCCATGTGTGTTGGAAAAGAATGTGCACTTTGCAACTATTGGGTGGTGTTTTAGTCATCTCGTGCTGCTATAACAGAAATACCATTAAGTGGATAGCTTCAACAAAGAGAAACTCATTTTCTCACAGTCTAGTAGGCTACAAGTCCAAACCCAGGACGTCAGCTCCAAGGGAAGGCTTTCTCTGTCAGCTCTGGAGGAAGGTCCCTGCCATCAATCTTTCCCTGGTCCAGGAGCTTCTCTGTGCAGGAACCCCTTGTCCAAAGTGCATACTCTGCTCCCAGCACTGCTTTCTTGGTGGTATGAAGTTCCCAGTTCTGCGCTTGCTTCCTTTTCCTTTTATCTCTTGTAAGATAAAATACCAGATGGCCACACCCCAGGGAAATTCCCTTTACATTGGATCAGGGATGTGACCTTAGTAAGGGTGTTACAATCCCACCCTAATCCTCTTTAACATAAAGTACAGTCACAAAAGGGAGGACAACCACACAATACTGGGAATCATGGCCTAGCCATATTGATACACAAATTTTGGGGGGGACGTAATTCAATCCAGGACAGGTGGAGTGTTCCATATATGTCTACGCATACAAGTTGGCTGATTGTGGCCTTTAGATCTTCTGTATCTTTACTGAGTTTCTTTCTAGATGTTCTGTCCTTTACCAAGATTGGTGTATTGAAGTCTCCTACTATTACTGTGGAACTGTCAATTTCTCTTTTCAGTGCTGTTAGAGTTTATATATTTTCGAGGCCTGTCATTTGGTGTGTAGATTTTTATTATGGTTATGTCTTCACAATGGAGCATCCCTTTAATCATGATATAGTGCTTTCTTTTCTTTTATGGTGGATTTTGTTTCAAAGGCTTTTTTATCTGATGTTAGTATTGCCACTGCTGCTCTTTTTTAGTAGCTGTTTGCTTGATATATTTTTTCCATCCTTGGATTTTTAATAAATTTATGTCTTTGTTTCTAAGATGTGTGTCTTGTAGACAACATATTGATGGATCCTGTTTTTCTGTCACTCTCTATCTCTTTATGGGTGCGTTTAGGCCATTTATGTTCAGTGTAATTATTGATAGGTATGAGTTATTGCTGTCATTTTGTAGTGCTTTTTTTTTTGTGGTGCTGACGATGTATTTTTTCTCTTACTCTCCTGTGCTGAATTCCTTTTTTTTGTGTATTTTTTTCATCTCTCTTGTTTTTGTAGATTTTGTTTTTACTGAGACTTTATGTTTTTCTTCTTTATTGTGATGAGTAGGTTTGTTAACATTCTTTGTGGTTACCTTGAAATTTACCCTTATCTTCCTAGGTTTGAACTAGTCTATTATTACTTGGTATCACCTTGTCTTCCTCTCCATTAAAAAGTTCTATACCTATACCGTTTATTCTCTCTTTTATTGTTCTGACGTTGTTGTCATTTGCAGATTAACCTCTCTAGTTCCCTGTTGTAATTCTTTTGGTTTTGAATAGTCCTTGACAGTTCATTTCCTAGGTTGGTATCTGGCTGGTGCAATCTTGCATCCTAGATTCAGGCTGTAATCTGATATCGTTTGTTCAAAAACTGAAGGTCTCTCTTTAATAACTCTTGTAAGTTTGGTTTGGTTTTTACATAGTCCCTTAATTTCTGTTTATTCAGAAATGTCCTAATTTCACTATCATATTTGAATGAGAGTTTTGTGGGATATATTATTCTTGGTTGGCAATATTTTGTCTTTCAAGGTTTTATATATGTCATCCCATTGCCTTCTTGCCTGCATGGTTTCTGCCAAATAATCCGAGCTTAGTCTTGTTGTTTCCCCTCTGTATGTGACTTTTTGTTTTTCTCTAGCGGCTCTCAGTATTCTTTCTTTGTCTTTGGTTTTAGTGAGCGTGATTATGATATGTCTTGGTGATTTTCTTTTAGGGTATAGCCTATATGGAGTTTGTTGAGCGTCTTGGATGGTCAGCTTTTCATCTTTCATGATATTAAGGATGTTTTCTGTCAGCAGTTCTTCAATGAGCCTCTCTGTGTTTTTTGTTTTCTTCCCCTGTTCCGGAACTCTGATCACTTGCAAATTTTTGCTTTTGATTATATTCCACATAATTCTGAGGGTTTCTTCATTTTTCTTCATTCTTTTTTTATGATTTTTCCTCAAAGGTGTATCCAAGTGTTTGTCTTCAATTTCACTGATCCTGTCTTCCATTGTTTCAAACCTGTTCCTCAGCCCTTCTATGACACTGTCCATTTCTGAAATCTTGTTGTTTATCTTTTGGATTTCTAATTGTTGTTTTTGTATGATTTCTAGTTGTGAATTTATTCTGGCATTTTGTTCCTGTATTATTTTCCTGAATTCTTCCTTCTTTTTTTTTTTTTTTTGGTCTGTATTTTCCATGAATTTGGCTATTTTTTCCTCATTTTTGGCTGTTTTTTACTTCAACTCTTGGATAGCTCTGAATATTAGAGATTTGAATTCTCTATTAGGTAGTTCTAGTGCCTTTTCTTCTACTGGAAAATCATCTGGAGTTTTATTTTGGACACCTACTAGAATCATCCTGTCCTGTTTTTTTTATACGTTTTGATATTGTCTGCTGTCTTCAGTACATTCAATGGTTATTTTCTTCATTTAATGACTGTAGATTTGTTGTTTCATCCTGCTTTTTTGTTTTATTTGGTTATGTCTGAGCAGGCAGGCTGTGTGTTTTTTGTTGTTTGCTCGTCTGTGGACATAATACTTTTCACCTCCTTGTCCAATGGGTAGGGCCAGGCCCTCAGCTATTGAGCAGTAGGACGGGTCCAGCTGAAGGGGAAGGTCTTGGATGGGTGTGTTTGTGGCACACACTAGGGCTGACAAAGTGAGTCATGGGTCATTGCAGGGCAGGTTCTGGTAGGCTGTGCCTATGCTGCTCAGGAGTGCAATGTTCAGCACACGGTGCAGATAGGCAGGAGGGAGGGACGGGGAGGGGGAGGTTGTGATGCGTAGAGCTAGGCTGGGTATGGGAAAGAAGAGAGAGAGGAGAGAGAAACAGGAACTAAAAAAAAAAAATGCCGAGGGAGTCTACCATTGGAGTGGAGAAACAAGAAACTGAGAAATGAAGAAAAACAGAAAGGAAATAAGAAAATAAAAATAATAAATAAAATTTTAAAAAAGCCCCCAGGGATACCACTAGCATGGCTGCACAGACCAGGGGCGCATTTCCCAAGCTGTGCAGTACAGTCCAGCTAGAAGGGGTGGAGATGATACACAGAACCAGGTATTCAGGAGACATGAAAAGAAGGTAAGTAGAAAGAGACGAGAAACTGAGAAATGAAAAAATAAATAAAAAGGAAAAAAGGAAGAGAAAATAAACAAAGGAAAAAAAAAAAAAAACAGGGATCCCACCAGCGTGGCAGCGCTGACAGGGGAAGCAGTTCCACAGCCAAGCGGTGCTTCAGAGCCTGTCAAGGAGAAGAAAACATGGCACACGGAGTCAGGCGTTTGAGAGAAAGGAGTAGGAGGAGTAGAGAGGAAGGGAAGAAACCAAAAGAAGCTGAAAAAAGCAACACCAGCAACAAAGATATGGCATGGAAGAAGCCAGCTGGTGTGGGTGGGGCAAATGCACCAGGAAGCAGTGCATCGCCCTGCTGGGAAGCTGCAGATCAACCTGCTGGGAAATGCAGAAGGCCGAGCATGGGGAGACAGGGTGAAGAGTGGGAAAGCATGTATCACTGGTTACCAGGTGCTCCGTCTCCTGCTGGGAGCTCCATGAATCTGCTTTCCTATACTCATTATCCGCCAATCTCTGACAGGAGTCCAAGATGGTGAATCCATGCAGGGTTAGCTGACAGGGGACCTCCACTCCTAACTCTCCTCACTCTCTGTTCTCTGTCAGTTTCTTATTACATTTGGTGCTTAGCTGAGTTCTTTATCTCTTCATTTGATGCTTAGGGTTCCAGGACTGACATCTGTCTCTGTTTTACTTAGTTTTTCAGGTCTTTGCTGTGGAGGGACTGCATGGTGCTTCTGTCTATAGCAGCGAGATCTATATTCTTTAAGGGTCATTCTGGCCCAGTGTGGAGAACGGGCAGGGGGCAGGGATGGTGCTATATGTGTAATCACAAGAAGACTATTCTAAAAGCTCTTACAAGAGTCCAGGTGAAATGTGACAGTAGCCAGGAGAGGATATTTGCTGTCTGGCTGTCTCTCTCTGTCCTTCCATCTCTGACCCTCCCTCACACTTGCACACAGGCCCTTCTGATTAATAATTAGACTCAAGTGCTGTTTGTTGATCCTGGGCCCTGACTGCTAGGCCAAAAATACACCTGTGTTCAGCCCAAGTCAGACATGCACAAGTTTCTCCAGGGTCCCCTAGTGGGGCCTGCTGGGTGTCAGGGTCTGAGGGAAATGACTGGGTGAGAGAGTGGGAGCCCAGGGAGTGAGCAGAAGCAGTATGGGGGACTTGCTTCCTAAGATCCTGGAAGGTAGTTTCATGGGGAAAGGAAATCAGACATCTAGAGCCCAAGGGAGACAATTAGTCAACACAGCAAGAGCTCAGGATATCAGTCAATATTTATTGAACCGAAGTCTATAGAAGCCAAAATGGGGAGAGCCAGATGGATCTGAGATAGTGTCTTCTCCAACTCTCCTCCTCCCCACTGATGAGGAAAATAGGGTCAGAGAGGTTGCGTATCTTGATTCCAAGCTGGTTGATCTCCATCACATACCACAAGGCTCCTTGGCATGTCTCCAACATCTACTTTCACATTTTTTTCAAATCAACCACTGTTTCAACGTTTGGAGTTTCTTTGAAACGTCATTGGTCCTTCAGTGCACTCTTGCCCCAAAAGAGCTGCTGACTTGCCAAATGTTCCACTCACTCTATTGTCACCACCACCACCACCACCACCACCACCATCATTATGATCAAGAAGTCACTGCCTGACTGAGATAAACCCACAGAAAGACAAGGGTGAGTTGATACTGGAAAGAGAGGGCTGGAGACCACCACCTGGGAAAGTCTTCACTCTTGCTAGGACATCAAACCATGGGGAGAGTCAATAATGGAGCTGCTGCTACCTCTCCTGTATTCCAACAATTCTAACGCTGCTTTCTCCCATTTCCAACTCTTTAATTTTCTCAATGCTTTTTCCTGCATGTCTCCCTCCCACTCATGCTCCCAATGTCTTTAGTCCAAAATAAACTGTTTCTTCCCATTCCCCTCACTCTCTAGTCCCCTCTCCTCTTTCATTTCAGCCCCAGCTTTCCTGCCTTATCTTTTTTTTTAATTTTTATTATTTTTGTTGTTGTTGAGAATATACACAGCAAAACATACACCAATTTAACAGTTTCTACACATATAATTCACTGACATTGATTACGTTCTTCGAGTTGTGCAACCATTCTCACCTTGCTTTTGTGAGTAGTGCCTCCCTCATTGACATAAACTCACTACCCCTCATGTTTCCTATCTAAACTTTTGAGTTACTGTTGTCAGTTTGATCTTATATAGATAGATCTTAAAAGAGCACAATGCTCAAGGCAGACAACCTTTACTAGTTAAAGCTAAACTATTGTATAGTTTTAAGAAGAATTTAGGGGATATTTTTGGTTTAAGATTTAAAGATTATCTCAGGGCAATAATTTTGGGGGTTCATCCAGCCTCCATGCTCCATTTCCGGCCTTGTCTTGAACCCACTTTCCATCTGCATTAACCCTTCCCTTACCATACTCAGCTACAGAAAGGCCAAACTCCTTGATACTCAGTTGCATAAAATATCTCGTCCTCTTTTTCCCTCTAATAAAATGTTTCCACACTGATGACAGCCTCCCCTGCTCCTGGCACTGCTCAGGGGGGTCATTGAGTCAGTCCCTACTGCAGATTCTTATAGATCTCTGTGAGCTCCTCTAACTTCCTCTCCAGCTCCCGAGCCTCCTCCCTCAGCTCTTCAGCTGACTCTGCCTTCGCCCCCTCCTGCAAGTGCTGTGACTCTTGCACAAGTTTGAACACATCCATCAGAAGAGAGACACCGGCGGTGGCCATACCCATGACCCGGGCTTCTTTGGTCATTGCCAGAGACGTGCCTCCAAAGGCTTTCTGCACCTGCTTACCCCTCCGTTTCGAGATGTTCCCAGTGGTCATGAGACGCCTGGCATTGGCTACTAGGCGAGGGTTGTCTTTGGCCAGCTTGATGGCATGGACAGTCTTCGTGATCTTTGACGAGACTTGGATGCAATTCTTTGTGATGGGAACAAGTGATGGAAGCACAGCCTTCACAACACTTTCATGATCGCCAGTTAACATCAGCTTGCTGGCACTGGCTTTTGCTGACAACCTGTTTGAGTGGTCCACGATGCTGGTGGAAACACTGGTGATAGCAGCTGCTGTTCCCAGCCCCATCCCAGTTGCTGAGAGTGCCAGACTGACCCCTGCTGTCACGGGTGCCAGAGCCAAGCCAAGGATGGTCAGGACACCAGAGAAGGCACCGACAGAATTGGCCACCAGGTAGGAGATGGTACAGTCCCTGTGTGTCTTGTCAACCTTGTCTGCAAGGGCGTGAAGCTCGCTTATACGTTCCTCAAGCTCCATTTTCACCATAGGAAACTCATCCAAAAACCTGTCTCTATCCAGCAGTTCTTTTTGAAGCATGTCTTTGTCTTCTGTGGCTGTGTCCATTCTGAGCTTGTTCAGAGCTTCATGTAGAATATCTGCCTCATCCCTATAACAATGAAGATCAAGTAATTAAGAAAGACAGTTTGCTTAGCTGTAAAATGGGTTTGATAAGATCTATCCTCCATAAAGCATAGAGCTTTTACTATAAATATAATGGAAAAGAATTCTACAAATGTAAAGATTTTTATTTCAATGTTAACACGTTTTGTACATTGTAGATGCTCCATAGTACTTATTCAATAAGGAAATAAAAAAGCAAAAATCATCTTGAGATGTTGTTTCATGGTAGTTAAGATGTTTTCTCACTCAAGATCCGGTCAACACCTTTGTGAAAGGGTCAATCCCAGCACAGCCTGCCGCCTTTCCCTGTGACCCATGAATGAACTTTGTGATTAGACCAGCTGGGTTGGCCTGGCTTTTTGGATGACATAAGAATATGAGCTGATTCCTTTTCTGGGTCATTTTTATCCAAACACATCCCATAGCAGATAATGGCCTATTAACATATCCTTCCCCTCTTGCCCTGAACTCATGTTAACGTTCCCAGGAACATCTTAGCTAACTGTGTGTGTTATATGGCACCTCGCCAACCCCACTGCTATATCTATTCCCAGTGGGGGAAGGAACAGGATCCTCCTCCTGCATCAAAAGAGGGGTGCATGCAGACCATCTCCTTGTGTCAGCTGATGAGAGAGACCCACTGGCCATGGGAGACCAATGCCCACTATGGAAGCTGACCTTGCTCTGTCGCTTCTCTATGTGACTAAAGTGTTGTTCCACCCAGTGCCTGTGTGTGAGGCATGTCTTTCTTGGACAGCCCAACATCTGCATTGCCCCAATTGACTGGGAAGCAGCAGCCCAGGCTATGAACCCTGGCTCCACTCTGACTCTGCACCCCACCTTTACTGACTCCTGAGCCACCAGCCAGCACCCTCAACCTTCAGGGCCTTACTCTCAGATCCCATCAGCCTAACTCACACTTTAGATGATGATGGCTTAACACATGTGCACTCCAAGGCAATGAGTAATTTTATGGAACCTCTTAAAGACGCCAGAGACTTGAAGAACAAAATACATGAAATGTTACGCCTGCAAAGACCTGCATTTCGACAAACTGGAGGAGGAAGTATTTTCCTCTCTGGCAGGGACTCACGAGGGCAAGAAGGGGCAAGTCCTTCAAATTACAAAAATTTTGTAGCCACCCACTCTGACTTTGGAAGTCATCACAAAGCCATAATGCCTTCCTGCTGGTCAGGGGTATCCTGCGTTGAATAGAACCAAACTCATTTCCATTGAGTCAATTCCAGCTCATAGCAACCTATAGGACAGAGGAGAACTGCTTCATAGGGTTTCCAAGGAGTGGCTGGTGGATTTGAACTGCCGACAGATCTTTTGGTTAGCGGCCCTATCACTTAACCACTGAGTCACCAGGGCTCCTCCAGTGAATGACATGGAGGAAACGTTCCTCATAGATGGTTGAGAAGGGATATCCTCAACCCCAACGACAGGAGATTGCCTGGAGGAAGTGTGCCTGTCAGGAGACAACTAGCCCAGCAGGAAGATCTGGGTGGTATTCCTGGGGCTCCATGGAGGTTACCTGGACAAGTCGGCCTCAACCTGGAATCTCTCCCAGTCTTGGTCTTCAGACAGCAGGAGTTGCAGCTCCTCTTGGCTGATACCATTCTTGAGATACTCAATGACATCCTCAATGATGTCTTGTGTCTCTAGTTGGAAAGAAACAGAATATGGTTAGAAGAAGAAATTGTGGCACAGCATAAATCACATTGAGTATTATAAGGTGGTTAAAAGTACATCTTTCTGAGCAGCTGTCACTTGGGGTAGTTTTGATAGAGTCACCTGGGAAGTGTCTTGGCACTTTGTGGAGGAATGAGTCATTGTCAGCTCACAGCAATCATAAAGCTAGCCTTCCAGCCCCAGAAAGTGGGAGAATTCCACTAATAGCTTCCATTTACCCTGTGCATATTGCGTGGCAAGCACTTTACATCAATGTTTCAAAATGTGAGCTGCAACCTGTCACTGGATCATGAAATTAGTTATTGGGTCAAGGGCAGCATTTTACAAAGAAAATGGAATGGAAAATATTAATGTTTTGAATATAGTAAGGAGGAGTATTGTTTTTGTGAATTATTTCATATGTAATTTGCTGTTGTCTTGTACTGTCCAGTGGATTCTGACTCATGATGACCCTCATGTGTTACAGAGTAGAACTTGGCTGTAATCTTTATGGAAGCAGTTCACCTAGTCTTCCTTTCGCAGTGCCACTGTGTGGATTTGAAGTGCTAATGTTTTGGTTACCAGCCCAGCACAAATGGTTTACACGACCCAGGGACCTTAGATATGTATGTGTGTGTGTGTGTGTGTGTGTGTGTGTGTGTGTGTGTGTAATCGGCCTAAGGAGTGCCCTGTAGTCAAACACATTAATGTTTAATTAATTTAATTAATTAATTCAGCAGTGGAATGAATATTCACACTAAACCAAAAAAACAAATCTATTACTGACAAGTCAATTCCGACTCATAGCAACCCTATAGGACAGAGTAGGACCGCCCCATAGGGTTTCCAAGGCTACAATCTTTACAGAAGCAGACTGCCACGTCTTTTTCCATCAGAGCAGCTGGTGGTTTCAAATCGTCAACCTTTAGATTAGCAGCGAGCTCTAAACCACTGGGGCAAATACTGTAATCAATATAAGTAGTCTGAGGTTAGTTCAGGTCAGGATTTCTGTTCAAATGAGCCACCAACCAGATATGTGGTTTTTCAAGGTTTGGGGGATTATGGAATTGTAGATAAGGGACTGGGGCCAGTGGCATCACTAGGTACGTGCTAGGGTGCAGACCCCACCAGGTGACAGTGTCAGAGGGGATGACACCAAAATGACTATTTATAAAATTTTTATGCAGTGTTTCAGCAGAAATGTATTACTTTTTATGAAAATATCCCTGCAGTTAGTTATAACAACAAAATATTTTTTCATAAGCCCAGCTTACATGCATCAATATACCTAAAAGGCTAAAACTCTATGCTAATTCACTTTTTTAACCTTCTAATACGCTCTGGTCAGAGCTTCATTCTAACCCATTTACAATGATGCTTCAAATCATGTGATTTTGTCTGCATGTGCTACAAGCGCGCACTGTTGTTTTTGTTGCTGAAGTTTTTGTGTGTGTGTGTGTGCTTTAGATGAAAGTTTACAGAGCAACCTAGTGTCTCATTAAACAATTAATACACATACTGTTTTGTGACATTGGTTGCCAACCCCAAGACATGTCAGCACTCTCTACTTCTCCACCTTGTGCTCCCCATTACCAGCTATCCTGTCCCGTCCTGCCTTCTCGTCCTTGCTCCTATGTTGGTTCTCTGTCCACTTAGTCTTGTTTTGTTTTATGGGCCTGTCTAATCTTTGGCTGAAGGGTGAACTTCCAGAGTGTTTGCTGCCGGGGTTCTTACAGTACTGATTTTGTCAAAATTTCTGGTGTTTTAGTTACAATATTGTAGTAATTAGCATGCAAGGAGGGGTGGTGACACCCTGAGTTACCACACTGGGTGACACCAACCCTAGTGATACCACCGACTAGGGACCATATATATTATTCTGTAAAATGTGTTGCCTGCTATATTCACACAAGTGAGGCACTATTCTTATTTCACAGAAAAGAACGTAGACACAGAGAGGGAAAGCGAGCGCCCAGAGCCAGAAGCAGAGGGCTTGGGATTGGAATCCAAGACTGCCTGGCAGGCATTTCTTTGACATGACTTTGAAGCCTTATACTTTAAAATTTCCTGTGATTTCTTCATTCAGTTCTACAATGTACCTGCGGAGGTTTTATTTTAAAACAAAAATTCAACCACACACCACTGAGGACAACCACCATACACGGAGATCCTCCCGCTGACCATGTGTGGCCCCTGAAGGATGGCATATGGGAAGGGCACTCCCTCCTTTAATAACATCAAATCCGGAAGTTCCTAGGTGGACAGTGGAGGGAGTTCTTCAGGTTGGGGTTGTGTGCTGGACCCTCAGCCCTGATCCTTGTGATCTCTCCATATTACCTCTCTCTCCTCCAGGCTGGCTTTGGGGACACTGTCCCCACAGGCACCTAGGAATCCAAGTGGCCCACAATGTTCAAACCAGACTTTATCCAACAAGAGATCATCTTGTTTCCACCAGTGAAAAAACCAGTTGCCATCGAGTTGATGCCAACTCAAGGCGACCCCATATGTATCAGAATAGAACTGTGCTCCATAGGGTTTTCAATGGCTGATTCTTTAGAAGTAGATTACCAGGCTTCTCTTCCAAGGCACCTTGGGTGTACTCAAACTATCAATCTTTCGGTTAGCAGCCGAACACATTAACAGTTGATTCTCAGGAATCCACCAGCCCTAACCCTTCATCAAAGATCCTAGGGACATCTGGGGAGCTCCTGGCTCCGAAGCTTTCCACCTCTCCCTTATTCTTCAATATAACTAAATGAAATACATTTTGCTCATGAGGGTGGTTTCTGGGAGAATTTGATTTGTTGCCAAGGCAGTTCGTGAGGGGGAGGAAAGCAGTCCTAAGGAAACAGGGCTGAGGAAACCTCATGTTGATTTGGGGATGAGGAGCTATTTTCTTGTTTCTTTTTCCTGCTTCACTGAAGGGAGAGGTGAAGTGAGGGCTTAGATAGAAGGAACGCACATGACTGTATCTGTTTATTTATTGAGGTGATGGGAGTAGAGAGAAATAACTGAAAGCAAAGTCTCCATAGGGGATGGGATCTTTTGAAATTATTAGGATCAGTCCTTACCCAAGGATTTCACAGCTGGCAAACAAGTGCTTATAACTGGGGGTGCAGGGCAGGTGCCCTAACACAGCCAGTCCGACATTGAGGGGAGGGGGATCCCACCTGGAATAACAGGTTCCAGGTAGAGGGGAAGGGAACCAGTCCTTAGTGAGGACCAATTGTGTGGCAGGCACTGCCCCGGGCCATGTGCATACATGGTATTTGATCTTCATAGCAACACGGGGAAAGATTATTGTCATTTGGCAGCTGAGGTGAGGTAAGGCCTCCAGGTGACATAAATGGAATGTGGCTTTGCCAGTTGAGTGGGATTCTGAGTCCCTCGCTCCTCCTGCAGACACCCCCCACCCACCCCCCACACACACACACAGAGGTTGGGCTGGCAGCAGGGCAAGAACTGGAGGAGACGGCCTCTGTTTGTGAAGTCCACGGTCAGCCAAGAGCAGAGAGAGAGGTTGCCCTGAGTGGAAGCTTAGAGCGGGTGAGAGGTCAGGAGACGCTCCAGGTTGCTGCTCTAGCTCCTCACCTGTCCCCTTCTGGCTCCCCCTCCTCACTTCCTCCTGGCTGTCCTTAACTCACTTCTGAATCATTTCATGGGCAGCAGGAATAAGGAGAAAGTGAGCACCTTGGCCAGGCCACCGTTAGGGGAGGAGCAGGAAGGAGATGCCCCCGCAGACCCCGAGGAGGCTCCACTTGGTGTCTCCTGGGACTCAGAGGCATGCTCATCCAAGCTTGTTCTCAATTCTTGATTCCTCTGTAGGTTAACACAGCTTTGGAGGTGCCACCCTCACTGCAGGTCCTAAGAAAAGGAAGAAGGACTACCTGAGCTGAATCCATGAGGTTCTGGGTTCATGGTGCCAGCAGTGGACTGTGAGTTTTTCCTCACAGCTGACCAGTCAGCATCCAGGCTGGAAGGAGGCTTGGCTTTACCCTTGGGGAGAAGAAAACAACTTATAGGATGGAATGTGAGCCAGCCATGGAAGCAGGGACCAGAGAGCAGCCAAGTCTCCAGCGATTCCCTCCAGGACGGCAGCAAGTGTAGAAATGAAATGGACCTGACCCAAAATGTTTGTCTACAGGGCTCGGCCAGGTGCTATTTAAAAAAAGTTACTCAGCCTCATTCCAGCTCCCCGCTTTGCCCTCCAAAGCCAAGTTAGTGAGTCCTGTTGGGGTACAAGGAGAAGATACTCAGACTCCATGTGTTTCAGAGACAGGCATCCCCAGATGCCGCAGGATGAAGGTTCTCAGTGAAGCATCTCCCTCTAGATGCTGGAGGCCGTTTCCTCGGGCAGAGTAAAGAGGTTAGGATAGTGTGTTGCTGCCAAGCACCCTTTATATGACCTCCCAGGACCATGTTCAAGGAGCCCTGGTGGTGCAAAGGTTAAGCAAAAGGTCGGCAGTTTGAAACCACCAGCCAGTCCAAGGGAGAAAACACCTGGCAATATTCTCCCCTAAAGATTACAGCCTAGAAAACTCTATGGGGCGGTTCTACTCTGTCACACTGGGTCACTATGAGTCAGAATCGACTCAGTGACACCTAACAACAATGACAGGACAATGTTCAAACTGATTATTCTGGCCACAGGCCCTCTGACCTGCTCCACCTCCTCTCTTCCCCACCTTATCACTCACCACTCCCTGCCTCCACCTACGCTCACGTTCGAGGACTCCCTGCCTCCTTGTACCCCTAGGTGCATTTGCTCATGCTGTTTCCTCCTCCTGGAATGCCTGCATCACCTTCACTGCCATGTGGAAGCTCACCCAATCTTAGAGGCCCAGCGCAAGAGCACCTCCGCCCCTGCTGGCTTTCCCCAGCCCTGCTCCCACTGCATGTGGTGCTTTCCTGGTTGTGGTCCCGTCTGTGTTATGGTTCTTGAGGCATCCGTCTCCTCCATGAGACTCTGAGCATCCCAGGGCAGGGCCTGTCATATTTTCCACTGCACCCCCCCTGCTGATGTCTACTGGGATACCCCCACCCACCCACGCATAGCCTGGCTAAAATCAGAGGGGTGGGAGGCATTAACCAGTTGCCGTCAAGTTGACTCTGACTCATGGTGACCCCAGGTGTTTCAGAGTAGAACTGTGCTCCATAGGGTTTTCAATGGCTGGTTTTTCAGAAGTCAATCACCAGGCCTTTCTTCCAAAGCACCTCTGGGTAGACTCGAATCTCCAACCATTCGGTTAGCAGTCAAGCTTCTTAACTGTCTGCACCACCCAGGGGTTCCGTGGGAGGCATTACTTGGACACAAAAGTAGTCAGCCTCTCCAAGACACAGCAAAACCCCAGTGTTACTCACCGTGGATTAATTCCAGTTTTTCTTTTCTATCTTGAGGAAATGTTCTTTCTGTCAGAGAACAGATAAGACTATCAATCAGAATCCATACAAATTACCTCACCTCACTGATCTAATTTACTTTCTTTTTATAAACTGATCTAATGTATTCTATTTTCTATTTTATTGTTTTATTGTTGCTTTTGTTGAGAATATATACAGCAAAACATACACCAATCCAACGGTTTCTACACGTAGAATTCATGGACAATTTATTACATTCTTTGAGTTGTGCAACCATTCTTGCTCTCCTTTTCTGAGTTATTCCTCCCCCATTGACATAAACTCATTGCCCCCTAAGTTTCCTATTTAATCTTTCAAGTTGCTGTTGTCAGTTTGATCCCATATAGATAGATCTTAAAAGAGTACAATGCTCAAGGCAGACAAACTTTAATACTAGTTAAGCTAAACTATTGTATGGTTTTAAGAATACTTGAGGGGATATTTTTGGTTTAAGGTTTAAAGATTTTCTCAGGGAAATAGTTTTGGTTCATCCAGCCTCCACTGCTCCAGAAAATCTGGATTCCATGAGAATTTTTAAAAATATCTTGCTGTGTTTTAGGTGAAGGTTTACAGAGCAAATTATGTTCCCCTTTAACAATTTTTATACAAATTCTTCTGTGACAAGTTTTACTGTGTGTCAGCATTGTCATTATTTTCATTCTGTTTCTTCTGTTTCCATTGTTCTAGCTTCCCTTACCCTCTGCATGGACTGAATTGTGTCCCTCAAAAATATGTGTCAGGTGGTTCCGGCAAAATGGTGCTCTAGGCAGAAGCACCACGCTGTCCCTCCACAGCAAAGATCCAAAAAACTAAGCCAAACAGAGAATACAACAATCCTGAAATCCTAAAACATCAAATGAAGAGATAAAGAACTCAGCCAAGCACCAAATGGAGTGATAAAACTGACAGAGAACAGAGAGC